TCTTGGTTTCTTAAAATAAATTCTGCCATAATATGTTGAGCTTAATTCATTTTTGTTGAGTACAGTCATGATAGATAAGGACCATTTCCATTTGTTTATTGCTTTCTTGTCATATTGCTGCTCCTTTGCTCTTTTCTTGCTGTCTCTGTCTTGTGATTTGGAGAAGTTTTGACTTACATGCTTTGATTTCTTTCTTCATTTCTAGTCTTGTGCAACTATAGATGTTTTCTGTGTGGTTACTCTGAGACTTACAAGAATTGCTTTTATCTAATGTACACTATTTAGTGTTGCAAATGACTTTTATTGTATATCAAACCCTAATCTTTATTTAAAGTTACTTTTAAATATTTATTTTTTTAACTTTTCCAGTGGAGTTGTTAGTGTTTTATGAGCCATGACTACCATATTAGAAAATTCTGAATTTGACTCTGTTTTTATCTTTACCTGTAAATTTTATACTTTCACATGTTCATACTTTTTAATTAATGCCTTTTAATTTTAGACTGAAAAAATCTTATTACAAATTTTTGTAAGGTAGGACTAGTGGTGGTTAATTTCTTCAACCTTTCTTTGTTAGTAAAAGTCTTTATGCTTCCATTTCTGTAAGGCAGCTCTGCTAGATACAGTAGTTCTGGTTGGTAGTCTTTTCTCCTTTCAGAATTTTGAGTGCCTTCTCTCTCTGTCTCCTATTCTGCAATATTTCTTTAGAAACATCTACTTTACTGTTTGCAAAAGCTTTCCTTTTATGGTATGAGTTGCTTTTCCATTGCTGCTTTCAAAACTCACTCTACATTTTACTTTTGACAATTCACTTGTACCTGGTGTGGACCTTCTCAGATTCAACTGATTTGGAAACTTATTCTCAGGAATTTGAACTTCCACACTTCTCAACGAATTTGGTCAGTTTTTAACCACTGTTTTTGCCCTTTCCACCCTCAAAACACACCCTGATGTCCTAGATTTCCATGCTGCTTATATTATTTTTCAAAACAAAGGCCCATACTTCCTGCAGTTTCTTCATTCTTTTTGTCAGTCCTGAAAATAATTTCAACATACCTGTTTTCTGGCCAATTTTCTTTTGCCTATTTCCATATGCTGTTGAAGCTGTATTCAAATTCCCAGTGCAGCTCTGTATTCTTTAGGGATTTTTCCCTTCATAAACTGGTCAGAAGTAAAGTAATTCCAAACATTACTTTTTATTTCACTCAGTCAGATTTATTAATTTTAACTGAAAACATTACATGCCATTAGGTATATATAATACATATCAAATGAAACTAAGTTTCAGGTTTGGTCCAGTAAACTCTGCCAGCTTTCTATCATTCTCTCATCACACTAGATCAGAAATTTAACATGAGGCCATTTAAGCAAGAGAAACTAGAGATTGAGCATCAGATATGTGGAATTAGAAAATTATAATCAGAGGTCATTACTGGTAAATTGACAAAGTTTTATATTCCTCAGATATTATGTCATTTTTTTTGCTCAGATTCAACCCTTCCATGCATGGGTTGTCTGTCAAGAGACCCTTCATTTGTTTCTATTCCCCATTTTATTAAATTAAATATAGTTTTCTTTATACTATGCTATGATATATTTAAAATAAGGCACATAATTCATTGCCTTTGAGAGATAATTATAATTGATGATGATAACACTGCTTTTAGAGTAGGCATAACAAAGGGATCACCAGAGATTATGTATGAGTGTTCATTTGGCACTAATTTCCTATCCACATTTAAATTATGTTTACACAGTCTTGGTTTTATGTGTTGCATGTAGAGTTTTCCAGTTTAATCCTCAGAGAGCAATTTTACAAAAAATACCAGGTATATTTATTTATTTTAGTTTCAAGATCTCCCTTTATTGTTTGTATGATACAGGACAGAAGTGAAGGAATTGTATAAGCAATTTTACTAAATGCCTTTCATGGTCAGATTAGAAAGTGTACTTGAGGTAGACTTAAGTGGAACATAATATTAGTGGCTATTGCTCAGTGCTAGATCTCTTTTCCCAAAGACACAGCTTATAATTTATTTCAGTGCTTTTCTCTTTAATTTTCTCTACAGTACCACTGCAAAACTTGTGTGTAACAAAATTTATCTAAGATTTGTGTTTAATGAGCAATACTGAATTTATAACCATCCAGATGAAGCATAATAAAGGAACAGAATTGTGATAAATAGGTAATAAATTAGTCGTTTTATAAGGCACCAATATTTGAGTGCTGTTTTTCTGATCCCTCTATTCTGACTTATTGACCTATGTGTCTGATTTTAAGGCATTATAATCCTCCTTAGGTTACCATAGCTTTGATCTGTTCATTAAGAATTTTTAGTTATTTTCATTTTAGATTTATTTTTAACAGATGCATGAAAAACTGTACATAGTTATATGATATAATGTAATATTTTGATATAAGTATACATTATATAATGTTTCACTCAGATTAAACATCGATCCTCAAGTTCTTATTATTTTTTTATGATAAAAACGTTCAAATGCTTTTTTTTGTTGTTTTTTTTTTTCCGGTACCGGGAATCAAACTTAATGACCTCACGCTTGCCAGGCAGGCGCTGTGCCACTGAGCTAAATCCCCAGCCACCTCATATGCTTTTTTAGAGCTTCCTGGAGTCTATACCATGGTCATTGTCTAGAGTCATCGAGTGGTGCAACAGCATAACGAATTTTTTCCTTGCACCTGTAAGTGTAGGTTAATATCCACTGATCAGCCTCCCTCCGTGCTACTGTCTCTAGCTTCTGGTTAGCATCATTCTACTGTCAACTAATACGAAATTAAGTATTGTAGATTCCACTTATGAGTAAGACCATGTTTTTTTGTGCCTGGCTTATTTTACTTAACATACTGATTTTTAGCCTCAGCTATATTCTTACAAATGAAAAGACTTCATGTTTTTCACTTAGCTGCATAGTACTCCACTGTGTATATGTACCATATTTTTTTCTGTCCATTCTTTTTTGTGGCTGTGGTGAACAGTGGTATGATAAACACAGATGTACAGCCGTCTTTTTCACAAAATGATTTCATTAACTTTGAAGGTAATGAAGGCCTGCATGTGGTAGTAGTAGGGGTGCATAAGGTAATTTGATTTAAAAAATTCTTTTGACATAGGGTCTCATCTTGCTGGCCAGGCTGGCCTCAAACTTGCAATCCTGCTGCCTCAGCCTCCTAATTTGCTGAGATTCCGAAGTGCACCACCGTGCTCAGCTTCTTTCTTGTATACTTTTAACTGATTTTATTCTTCAGGTTCAATTTAGATTTAGATTTTTTTTCTTTTCCTAAATTTCAATTAACTCGTTCTTCACTCCTGTGTTTTTAAGTCTTTTGCTGGTAAAATTTCTAACAATAAAAATAGTTGTCAATTTTGTGTTACTTAAATACGAGTTTTTATGTAATTACCAGATATTTTAATTCTAGTATGCTCTTCTAAAGAAAAGTACATTGTTGTGTAAAACCTTTATGTAGATAATGTTTTATATTTTTCTTTTGTTTCATAACTACATTTGATTTGAAATGTATCACCAGTGTATATAACCTTTAACATAGTTTAGGAAGTATTGTTTAGATGGTTATCTTGGATTACATTAAATTAATTGAGGATGAAATTGGGAGCTCAATACACTGATCAAAGCCTTCTCAAATTCAACCCACATTAGAAGGACAAATGAGTTTTTAAGATGCACAAAAGTTTTGTTTTCTTCCTCTTTTCTTTTTTATTTCAAGTATTGGGAATTAAACCCAGGGAGCTCTGAACTACATCCCCAGTTCTTTAAAAAAATTTTTTTCTCTTGAGACCGGGTCTCACTAAGTTGTCCAGGTTTGCCTTGAACTTGAGAGGCCTCCCAACTCTCTAGGGAGACAGACATGTGTCAGAGTTGTTTTCCTTTGAAAATTGAACTGTTCATTTCAAAAGTCTTTTTTTCATATGCAGTGAGCAGCAAAGTTAGCTGCTGACAAAGCAAGTCTACCTTTGCTACAATCAAATCCTGCAGAGTAGCTTTAAAAGTTTTATACTTCTGCAGAGTATTTTGAATAGCTCAGTCTTTCTGATTAATAGTTACACTCTTTCAAATACTTGAAATAACAATATTTTAAATGATATTTTCATCTTATAAATTACATTCATAAATTACACATTTAGTGGAGAGTGGGGAAATTAAAAGGGCTTTATTCACTTTTGAACAGTTATTTCCAAAGAAAGGGCAATACTGAAATAGTATTTTCCTGACCAGAATGAAAAGACAGACAGACAGACAGACACACACACACACACACACACACACACACACACAGAGATTTTCTAATAGTGAAGCTATTGCCTATGAAGCTATTGTAGTTTTCTTGAAAATGCAATAGCTAAAAAAACTTGCATACTTTTAGTTGATTAAAAATGAATCCTGTTCAGCTCATTTAACATTGCTGACTTCAACCAGAGAAAGATTCTACTTATTCTCTTTTGCCAAGTGATCTCAGGATCACTGAATAAGAGAACATCATCCATCTTACTTCTGAAAAAGGTTTTACAAGCAGTGATATAGTTTGTATGAAGACAACTTCCCTGAAAATCTCCAGATTAATGAATCAACTTTGCAAGCCCTCATAGGGAAGACCAGTTCCTGCCTCACAGAGCTGGCACAGGATTTGGGAGCCAACTGAGATTTGGTGATACTATAGTTTTTTCTGTTGGCAGCAAGTATTTCTCCATGGGTCTTCTCTGCAAATTCTAAATGATTTACATATTAATATGACTGAGTGAAACACTGATAATGCTCACAAAAGTTGCAACTCCTTTCCCTCTTTCAGGCAGATTTAGTTGAATTTCAGAAGGTGTAAGGATCTTTCTGTCCATTTAGGTTCCTTTCAATTCTATTGCACTGAAGCATTGATGAAAAACTAATTCAGAGATGACCGCTATAAGTAACACCAACTTAAGTGGTGTAGCAACACCATATGAAACTTAATTTCATTCCTAGGCTTCTTATCAATTAGTTAAATTTAAGTTGAATTTATTTAAATTTTCATCAACTCACTTAAGACATGTTGAGAAGAAAAGTATATATCCAAATGAGTTTAAAATACACTAAATATGAAAGTTTTTCTCTATTTTCAGTATGGAACAATTCTAACCACATTCACTTTTTCTGCTGCACAAATATCTTCTTTTTCCATCACAGCTGGTAACGCTTCCACCGGTGGTATCTACGAAGGCACAGTTGCCAGAGCCACTTACCCTGAACCTAAAAAGAAGAGAGATTCTTTATTTATTGGAGCTCATAAAAAGTAACCAACCAGAGCCTCAAATATAGAATATAAACTTTTGTAACCATGTTTTTAAATGTGCAATGTGGAAGGAAAAGAGAGAGTGAAATAAAGTTCTTCTCTCTATTAATCAGTCTCCAACCTTGAGCTCAGGACTCTGCTGGTGCCTAGGAGAGGAAACTACGTTAATCCATTGCATTAACAATACAGTCCTCACACTTTCTCCTTTCACTAATATACAAAACATGCAAATGGTTTTGTGGAGAATTGGATTCTTCCCTTTATGCTTTAGATTAAAAACTAATGAATCTAGACATTTATAAATGATATGAACAGGGAGGATAACTAATATTTCATTGAACACCTTCATGCATTATAAGAATAGTGCAATTTAGTGAGCTGCCCAGAGAAGGGTGAGGCCTTGCACTTCACCTCCAACAACCACAATGACAAGACCAAGGACTAAAATGCAATCTCAGGAATCCAGGCCAATCATAACAAGTCCAGAATACATCAACATGGGAGAACTCGGAAGTCACACACCTGAAATCTCTGAAATGATCACAACTGAAGTAAAGAAACAACTTCATAAAGCCATAGAAGAAATCAGATTAGAAATAATCTCTCAGGTAAAAAGTGAAATGACAAGAAAAATTGCTCAGCAGACCTAAAGAGGACATATGTGAAACAACAGATGAGCATAGAAAAATAACAGAAACATTAAATGCATAAATTAAATGCATAAAATTAATGCATAAAACAGATTCATACAGACATCCAGGAAATCAAAACCTCCATCAAAAGCTGGAAAAACTGCTTGAATGAAGTAAAAGATAGACTTTCAGATCTTGAAGACAGCATTGCAGCTAATGATTGTGAAAGGAAAGATCTCTTAAAACTTACAAGGAACCAGGAAATAACAATTCAACAGCTGCAAGATGATGCAAAGAGAAACAATGTAAGACTGACAGACAGCAATGAAACATCAGGAGTCAACATAAATGAATAAGAAGACTATTTGCAGAAGTAATAGCAGAAAATTTCCCAGGTATGGAAAAAGAATATGCCATACAGTAAGTGAGGCATATAGAACTCCAACAAGCCATAACCAAAATAAAACTACACCCAGTCATATAATAATCAATAACCCAAACATCCAGCAAAAGGACAGAATATTAAAAGCTGTTAGAGAACAGAAATAGATCACCTACAAAGGAAAACCCATCAGAGTCATGGCAGACTTCTCAACACAAACCATCAAATCAAGAAGAGCTTGATATGAAGTACTCCAGGTCCTAAACAAAATAACTTTCAACCCAGACTGTTGTATCTTGCAAAACTATCCTTCAAACTTAATGGAGAAATAAAATGCTTCCACAACAAAGAACACCAGAAGAATGTCATGAGTGACAAACCAACCCTACAAAGAGTACTAAAAGATATTCTTAGAAAGAGATGAAAATGACCACAATTTCAAGAAAAATAATAGAAAGGAACCACCTAGCAGAGAAAGCAATTAAACAGAGAGTAAAACTAGGAAACCAACAGCAAGTAAATAACATGACAAAAACAAGCCATTACATAATAGTTATAACCATTAATGTAAATGGCCTCAATTCACCAATCAAAGGAAGCAGAATAGCAGAGTGGACCAAGAAACAAAGTTGAGCAATATGCTGTATACAAAAGCACATTTAACTCAAAAGGAAATAAATAGACTGAAAGTGAAAAGTTGGAAAAAAATTTCCATGTGACAAGGAACCCAGAAAAAAAAGCAGGAGTAGCTATTTTGATTGCAGACAATGCAAACTTCAAACCAAGAATGATCAAAAGAGATTAAAAAAAAAAAGGTCACTACATACTTGTTAGGGGAAAATTTCAAGAGGAAGAGATAACAATCATAAATATGTATGCACCCAATATAGGGGCACCCAACTATATAGGACAAACCTTAATAGACATGAAAAACCAAATAACTGATAACACTGTTGTAATGGAGGTCCTTAACAGCCCACTGACACAAAGAGATAGGTAAACTGGATAAAAAATCAGCAAAGAAATAACAGAACTGAACAAAACTTGTGGACAAATGGAGTTAGTACAGGTTTATAGAGTGTTCCACCCACAGCATCAGAATACACATTCTTCTCAGCTGTACATAGACATTCTCTAAAATAGACCACATACTAGCCCATAGAACATGCTTAACTAGATGCAAAGGAATTTAAATTATACTATGCATACTATCTGACCATAGTGCAAGGAAATTGGAAATTAATGATGAAAGGAAACACAAAAAGTCCATAAACACATGGATGTTAAACAACAGCCTCCTGAACAACCAATGGGTCACAGAGGAAATTAAAGAAGAAATTAAACAGTATATACAAGCAAATGAATATGTAAATACAACTTACTGGAATCTGTGGAATTCACTGAAAGCAGTCTTCAGAGAGAAGTTTATAGCAGTAGACTCACACATGAGGAAAACAGAAAGAGAACAAATAAATAGCTTAATGCTGCACCTCAAACTTTTAGAAAAAGAACAAGTCAAGCCTAAAGCCCAAAGAAGGGAGGAAATTATAAAGATCAGGGCATGAATTAATGTAACTGAGACAAAGAAAACACTACAAATAATTAATGTATCAAAGAGTTGGTTCTTTGAAAGAATAAATAAAACTGATAAACCTGCAGCCAACCTTATCAAAGAAGGAGAGAAATAACTCAAATTCATGCAATAAGGATTGAAAAGGGTGAAACCACTGCAGGTCCTATAGAAATTCAGAAGATCATCAGTACTTACTTTGAAAACCGTTACTCCCACAGGATGGAAAATACAGAAGAAATGGGCAGATTCTTAGGTAAGTATGAATTACCAAAGTTGAATCAAGAAGAAATAAAAAGTCTCAATAACCCAATATCAATTATTAAATTGAAAATGTGATTAAAAACCTACCAATAAAGAAAAGTGCAGGTCCTGATGGATTCAGAGCTGAATTGCACAAGAAATTTGAGAAGATTTAATGCCAATTCTTCTCAAACTCTTCAACAAAATTGAAAAGGATGCAATTCTCCCTAACTCATTTCTGGAGGCCAGTATTATACTGATACCAAAACCAGAGAAAGACCCAAGCAAGAAAGAGAACTACAGACCAGTCTTCCTAAGGAACATACATGCAAAGATAATCAATAAAATATTACCAAACAGAATCCAGCAAATCATCAAGAAGATAATGCACCATGACCAAGTGGGATTCATCCCAGGTACACAGAGATGGTTCAATATATGCAAATCAATTAATGTAATACACCATATCAACAGATGTAAAGACAAGAATCCTATGATCTTCTCAATAGATGCAGGAAAAGCTTCTGACAAAGTCCAACATTCATTCATGATAAAAAAAAAAAGCCTACAGAAAATAGGAATAAATGGACTCTACCTCAATCTGATTAAAGCATCTATGACAAACCAACAGCCAACATCATACTAAATGGACAAAAACTGAAAGCTTTCACTTTAAAATCAGGAACAAGACAGGGATTACCATTGTCTCCTATTGAACATAGTTCTGGAAACATTACAGAGCAATTACACAACGGAGATAAATAAGAGGAATAAGCATAGGAAAAGAAGAAGTGAAATTATCATTATTCACAGGTGACATGGAAGACCCCAAAACCTCCACAAAAAGACTCCTAGAATTAATCAATAAATTCGATAGTGTAGTTGGATACAAAGTTAATACTCAAGTCAATAGCATTCCTATACACAAACAACAAATACACTGAGAGAAAAATTAAGGAAACCATATTTTTCACAATAGCATCCAAAAAACTGAAATACTTAGGAAGCAATCTAACAAAAGTAGTGAAAGATCTTTACAATGAAAACTACAATACTCTGAAAAAGGAGATCAAAGAAAATTTCAGAAAATGGAAAACTATTCCTTGCTCATGGATTGGAAGAGCCAGCATTGTGAAAATGGCTATACTACCAAAATTTCTGTACAGATTCAATGCAATCCTAATTAAATACCATTAGAACACCTCACAGATCTAGAGAAAACATTTCTAAAATTCATCTGGGACAGAAGAAACTCACAATAGCAAAAGCAATCCTGGACAACAAAGACAAGTCAGGTGGTATCAAAATCTCTGACTTGAAATTATACCACAAGGCCATTGTGATAAAAATAGCATGATATCGGCAAAAACAAAAACCGACCTGAGGATCAGTGCAACAGACTGAAAGGTGCAGCCACAAGCACAAACACACTCAGTAAACTTAATTTTCACAAAGGGGCCAAACAATATCACTAGAAGAAAGATAGCCTCTCTAATAAATGGTGCTGGAAAAACCGGCTCACTGAAAGCCAAAGACTGAATCTAGATCCATGTCAATCACCATGCCCCAAACTCAAATCAAAATGGGTCAAAAATTTAAATATTAAAACAGAAACACTAAATCTACTGAAAGAGGAAGTAGGTAAAAATCTTGAAGACATAGGAGTAGGCAAAGAGTTAATGAACAAAAACCAAATTGCTTGGGAAATACGTCAAAGAATCAACAACTGGGATCTCATCTTACTGAAAAGTTTTTGCACAACAAAAGAAATCACCAACAGAGTAAAAAGAAAACCCACAAATTGGTAAAAAGTTTTAGCCAACTGTCCCTCAGACAAAGGACTTCTATCTAGAACCTATAAAGAACTAAAGAAAATCAGCGCCCCCCCCCAATTTAAAGACTCAATCCAAAAATGGGTGTCTGAGATGAATACACACTTCTCAGATAAATAAATGTAAATGACAAGTAAATACATGAAAAAATAGTCAACATCTTTAGTCATTCAAGAAATGCAAATTAAAACAACACTGAGATTTCATCTCGCCCCAGAGAGAATGGCTATCACCAAGAAATCAAACAATAACAAATGCTGGCGAGGCTGTAGGGGAAAAAGAACCTTTCTCCACTGTTGGTGAGAGTGTAGACTGGTGCAACCACTGTGGAAATCAGTCTGGAGATTCCTCAGTAAACTAGGACGAGAGGTCCAATTCAAACCAGCTATTTCCTTTTTGAGTATTTTTCCAGAAGAACTACAAATGTCGTATCACAGTGATATATGTGCAACCATGTTTATAGCTGCACAATTTCTAATAGCTAAATCATGGAGGTAACCCCAGAGACTATCCACTGAGGAATGAATAAAAAAGATGTAGTATTTTTACATAATTGAATATTACTCAGCTATAAAGAAAGATAAACTTGAGGCTTTCATAGATAAATGGATGCAACTAGAGTCCATGCTCATGAGCAAAATAAATAGACCAACATGTGTACATACTGTATTGTCTCACTAGTGTAGGAACCTGAAACAGTAACTAAAATTAGAAAGGTATAGTAGATATTGTGAAAGGGAAAGAAACTGCTCAAAGGTAGGGAACAACTGGGATGTGGGAAAAGAGAAAGAGAAAGAACGGAAATATATATATGCACACACACTCACACAGGACAATTGAGAGAGTTGTACTACCAGCTTCTATTGCTTTATTGAAAGGAACAGTTAACTTTTGTTTGATCAATCTTACCTGCCTATATTTGTTTAACTGAATAACCAAATTGAACATAGGAATATGTATATAATAACTATTGTTAATTTCCTATCACCTTGTCTGAAACTCTGTATTGCTTGTATTTTGGGGTATTGTTTTGTTTATATGCATTTGTTTGTTAATGTGTTTTTGTTCCTTACCTTTAAAAATAAAAAAAAATTTAAAAATTTTTTTAAAAAGAGAGAAACAAAATAACAAGATGATAGGAAATTAACAATGGTTATTATATTGTGTATTGTATCTTCAAAGTAGTTGCTCAGATTACCAGGTACAGGTATGCAAACTTGATCCAACAGTATAAGCACTAATAGTTCCTTTCAATGAACTAATAGAAAGTAGTAGTACAATTATGTTAGCTATCTTGTGTATACATACATGACCTTTTTTCCTTCCTCCTTTTCTCATTTCCCCCATCTCAGTTGTTCTTTCCATTTTTATATTATTTTTTTAATTTAAAAAAAATTTTTTTCTGAGACAGGGTCTCACTATGCAGTTCAGGCTGGGCTTGAGCTCACTTTGTAGCCCAGGCGGGTCTTGAACTCACAAATATCCTCCTGCCTCAGCCTGGGATTACAGGCATGCACCACCATGCCTGGCTCCATTTTTATTTTAAGGAGAATAAAACAAAAACAAAATAACTAGAACAGGGACAAAAGCAAAACAACATGAAAACAATAAAAATGATACAGGATTTCAAAACAAAATGATAGAAATTAACAATTGCTGTTGGCAGTTTCTTTCCCTTTCACTATATCTATTGGAAATTTCAGTCTTACTTACTCAGTTCACATTGTAGATCATATATAAATGTATGAAACTGAAAACTCAAAAAGAGGAAAACAAAATGATAAGTTATGATGGTTTCTGGTTATATTGAATTCAGATGCTTTCCACACTTCAGGTTTTGGAGCTTGGCAACACGAATGTACACATTACTAACTTCTAGGTTGATTTCAAAATTTATCTGGCCTATGTCCAAAATATCTGTGTATAGTCACCCCGCATTACACTCAAGGGGTTAGTTCTAAGACCTCATCTTGATGGATACCAAAATCCACAGATGCTTAAGTCCTTTGCATTAAATGATGTAGTATGTGCAGATAACCAACACACATCTTCCTATAGACTGTCAATGATCCCTGCATCACTTGTACTACCTAACTGAATGCAAATTCTATGTAAATACTTCTGACTTTTGTATCATTTAGTGAATAATGACCAGAAAAAAAACTGTACATGGTCAGTATAGATATACCTGTTTTTTCCTGACATTTTCAAGCTTTGATTGCATCAATCCATGCTCGTGGAACATGCAGGTACAGAGGACCAACAGTGTTTTCATGCCTTTGTGTTTCTTAGTGCCAGCGGAGAACTCACCAACTATTATGAATTATGTTCTGCCCAAATGTCCTATGTTGAAGCCCTAACCCTCTCTGTTCCAAAATGGAACCATAACTCAGATAAGCTTTGAAAGGCCTAATTGAATTTAAATGAGTTCCCTTTAGTGAATTTTATATCTATTTCAATATAACTGATGTTTTTATAAGAGGAAATAGCTGTGACACTGACTTGAGCACACACAGATACTAAACTATGTACAAATTGAGACATTGACCTTCTACAAGATAAGGAACCAGGCTGCAGAAGAAACCAATACTGCCAGGACCTTACCCATGGACTGCTGGCCTCCAGAACTGTTTTTAAGCTGCCCAGGCTGAGCATTTATTATAGAAACATTAGAACAGTAATACATGATCTTTAATCAGTGAACAGCTTTTATTTCTTCATAATGTTTCTAAAACTTGTCTGTATATAAAATACAGCATTATGGTATGCTATTAATATTTTCACTCCAGAACAACTAAGTAGTACCCTATGTTTTAGTCAGAAAAATTAATTTATATATTATTTTATTTTACATTTTTCAAGGTTAAAACATAATTGTTACTCACAAGTCACACTATTATTCTTACGTCACTTGGGGTATACTTTCACCCCAAACATAATGTAAATACTATAAGCACAGAAATTTCTCCAATTTACAAGCTACTGCTACTAAATTTATCATGTCATATGCATAACATAGCACCTGGTGCATTATATTATTGCCTAAGAATGAGAGTCTGTCACGAAGTAGCCACCCAGTAAATGCAGAATCATGGAGAACGTAACATGCTTGTAAGTTCTTCATCTACTCAAAGAAAAATATAAGTATCTGTGCACTGAAAATGACATAAAAGATTAAAATTAATATAAGGAATATAGATGAACTTTGAGATTTTAAATAAAAACAAACAGAATACTCATGCCTCACAAGTGGAATAGTCAAATTCTACACCTTGAAGTAAATGTTGACCTCTGAGGCAAAGCTTCATTGAAGAAAGTAAGGCTCTCTGAATATGATCATTATGTGTGTCAAAAATATACCAATCAAATGAAAAAAATTGAAAAAAACATTCTCTTTGATGTCTGTTTGTTGAGAACTGGTTAGGGGAAGGGTGTGTAGGAAAATATAGTGGTAGCTGCTCATAGACATGGAATTCTTACCTTGCTTAATACATTTCATAATAAGTAAATGTTAGTAAGGCTTACCAGTTGTTAAAGTGACTTCCATCCATCCACCTCCAGATGTTATCAGAAAGGTGTTTTCTCAGTCCAATCCAATATGTAGATTTATCCAGATGCTTGGCCACAGACTTCTGTGACAAAGTACAGACTAGTGTCATAAATCTCACCTACCTTTCTCATGTTCACTACAAAAAATGCTACTCTCCTTGCCTCAGTCCATTATCTTTTACTAGGTTTATTGCAACTGCTTGGTAGGATAATTTCCTGCCTTTTATGTCACCCAGTTGCCAATCTCATCAGAGCAAGGAAAATGATTCCATTAACACCGGAGGGAGAGCATATCACCATTTTGCTGATAACTGTGAAACGTCATCCTGTTTTGCTTGGGATAAGAACCTACAGTCTCTACAATGACCTACAAGACGTTTATGATACACATCCACACCCCTCCCTTCCCTTTGGACATACTGACTGGCCACCTCTTTTCTGTTCCTTCAGCATTCCAGCTCTGACCTGAAGACTGTTCTCCAGGAGTTTCCTTTTTCAGGTGACCTCCCTAGAGACTGCCTTGACTAACTTCTTTACCACTTGGATATGTTTGCTCAGATATCATAGTCTCAAAGAGCTACAACTTTGTCTACAAGCTACCTAGTTGGCAACAATATAAAATCCATTACTTTGTACCCTTTTGCATAAAACTTACTAATCCCCAACATACTATGTAATTTACTTATTCACTATGTTTGCTTTTCATTGCCCGTCCCCTTCTATGGGTTGGAATCTCCACAAGGACAAAGATCTTTGACTGTTTTGTTGTATAAGAGATCAAACCCTACGAATATGCTTCCCATATAGCAGCTCATCGAATTCTTAGATGTGTATTGCAAAAGAATCTAACCATTTCAGCCTGTGAGACGATCTTGGCCAGAGATCCCAAATATTTTCTGCAGTGTCTCTGTCCCTCGGACCAAGTACCTTCATTTTCAGATTGAAAGAAGCACTTCTGACTGAGTAGCTCCCAGCCAGGTGGACATACCCTCAAATCATTTGTGCAATTCTTCTTGATTATTTTAATTCCCACTAAAATTAACACAGTGATAAAAAAGAAAGTATAAGAGGAAAGGTCTGACCTTTCACGTAAAAGACTTCTATATATTTTATTTTCATTGAATGATTTTACTTTCTCATTTAGGTTGAATGATGTAATTTAAACAACTCAGAGAGTTCTTTTATTTGAACAGAACAACTGCATATAGAACAATAGAGATGAAATAAATTAGCATTGGAGGATGACAATCTATTCATAACTCAAAACAACAATAGCAAACAAGCAAACTTCCAGAACTTCCATATCCTTTAGTCATTTTTCCTTCGATTTTCTTGCTCATGCTTCTGGAATCATTTTATCTGTTTATTTCAGTTCCTAATATTTACTATGCCATGTGGCACAAGTTTCACTGAGAGAAAACAAATCCATGTATTTCATAACCTTAAAGACCTGATTCTGAACTATAGATTTAGCTGAGAACCAGTTGTGTTTCAAATACAATATTTCCCCCAAATGTTGAAAATTTTTTCTTTTGTCTTTATATAAAAAACATTAGAAGGAAAAAATGCTGAAAAATTACTAGGTTATTGTCATCCAGGTTTTACTCCTTAATTTACCATAGTAGGTAGAGGAAATGACATATCCTGAAAGAAACAAGATTTAAGGCAACTTCCACACAAAGTTAAAATAAGTGACTAGCTTACAGTCAAAACTTGCAATGGGAAGGGCATGAAATGGAAGGATAAACTAGCCAGATTTTTCTGTACATGTCAGAGCTGGTATTAAAGCCAAGTAAAAATATTTAGGCCATCAAAAATTTTTGAACATATCAAACTCAAAATTATTTTTAAGTGCCATGTTCAAATCCAGAATATGCACAAACTCAAATATTTAGTTCCAAACCATGGTCACACCAGTTTTGATTTTTACTCATTAATTCACTTATTCTTTCATTAATTTTTTCAGCAACTATCAGTTTAGCACTTACCGCATACTACACTTTATTTGTAGCTTTAGGAATCTAAAATTTGTATAACATGAAAAAATTTACTTTCATGAAACTTACACTTGTGAAATTATATAATTTGGGATAAAACAGATCAGAGTAAAGGGATTTAGGCGTACTGGTGGGAAGAGCTGCAATTTTCGTGCAGGCCACAGCATAAGGTCAGATAAAAAAAAGTACAGTTTAGGAAAAGCTTGAAGAAGATGGGACAAGAGGGGGTTAGGGGTAAGATCATCCTAAGTAATGGGAAGAGAGAGTGAGAAGGACCGAGGAAAATGTGTCTGATAAAGGCTTTGTTCCATGTAGTAAGGATGGTCACTTCCCTGCAGTCATAGTTAATGAAGAAGCAGCAAGTGATATCCAAGATGCAATGGTGTGACTAGACCCAGTGTGAACATGACAGCCTATTGACAGGATTTGCTTTCAATCCAAATTCATGAAACACAATTGCAAAACTGTGGACATATTTGATTCAGTCTTAAAAATTCAAAATAGACTCTGGAGGATGGAAGCAAGAGGGCAAGAGGCAGTCAGCACTCACTAGTGCCTCCTAAATATTTGTCCAATTGAAAAGTACAGGGCTCTCTGAGGAGATGGGAGAACCACAGGAAATCAGAGTGCAGCTAGAGGAAGTCAGCAGCAGTACAAACTCTGGAACACTGCTACTTAACAAAGGTGACTCAATGAACTGAAGCAATGCACTCCACACTGGGTGAACTGTAGCCCGTGAGGAGGGAGAGCTTTACTCCCATGCAGAAGTAGAAGGATAAACTTAGCACAGAACTCTGAGCATTCTCTCTGCTGCTGTAAAGATATGAGTCTGAACAGGAATATCTGAGTGCAGCCAAGTGAGCCCAGGCAGGAGTGAAAATCCCCATACTTAGATGGAATGGGATTAGGAAATCTTAGAAATCACCCCCATAAACCTTGCTTCAGTAGAACAAGCTCTAAAGGGATTTCAGTGAAACTGAGTAATTCCTTCTGCCAAGGCACAAACTCCCTAGCTTTTCCATAACTCTGCAATGTTCCTGTACCTCACTACATGGAAGAAATGGACAACCTGCCTTAATAACTAGCTTAGAGCCAAGAAAAAGGGTGACTGTGGCACAGTAAACTGCAATAATGATGTAAGGAGAAACAGCGCAGCCCCTAGCTCACTACAGGCCAAAATCCTGGCTGGGAGAATCTCAGTGAGGTGCATGAACAGCCTAAAACAGTAGCAATTTGATTAGGGGTGTTGGCAATGAGCTCCGCCCTGTGGAATTTGGCAGGAGAAGCCTTGGAGAATGGCACTGTGTGAAGCCTCAAACCAACACAGACCCTGAGCGCCCATCCTGCCTCTGATCTGCTCTCACATTCAGAGTAAACACTGCATTAGGCAAACAGCAGACAGCTGTGCCTCCAAAGGTAGCATCTGGGAATGCATGCATTTTTAGACCATGCTCTGGGTCTTTCCACAGACTGTACAAGTGACAGATCCAATGCACAGCCTGAGTCTCTAGTACCCTCATTTTCAGTGTGGCAAAGATATAAAGTTGGAGGCCTGGACCTAATCCTACTACTGGTGGGCCTGCCTGGCACTCATCCGCAACTATAAGAGGCAGAGCTCAGCATCCTGTTTGCCCTGAATTATTATCTTACTTGCTGAGAGGTGGAGGAGAACTCTGGACTAAACAGTAAAAAGACCTCACACCCTTTTCCATCATGTAGCATCCAGAACAATGACAATAAGACAAATACTAATACAAGGGTGAAAAGTGTACCTGATTGTGTAAGTGTGTGTGTTTCTTACTGATGTTTCAGGAGGACCACGTGTTTGTAAGTGCTATGAGTGCTGGCTATTGCTTTTGCTTTCATACGACCTTACCTTGACATGCTCTGTTCTCCCACACCCAGGGTTAGCAGGGCTGGTTTACTTTTTGTTTCTGTTAGTTCACTAACTGGATTCACTCTCCCTATACATTTTTCTCATTTTCCACTTACATTCTTTTCTGGTGTCCCCTTTATCTTCCCCTCTTTCACTCAAATGTCCCCTCTCTCCACAATTTTTTTGTGTGTTTTTTTGTTTTCTTTTGTTTTGTTTTTGCACAGTAATATACTTTGTTCTGTCAGGTTCTACAGGAATTTTGTCATGAATTCTAAATTTGTGTTGCTACTAATTAATTAATTGAATCCAGTCACCCGCTTCCTCAGTTTCCATTTATCTTCCTTTACCTATTGTTCTTTCTTTTCCCTCATATAACATCTCAAATATCCCTTTCTTTTGCAGTATATAATTATGATGGTGATGATGACAATGACAACAATGATGATGATGATGGTGAAAACTATTTCTTTTTTCTCTTCCTTCTGATGCATTACCTCTTACTTATTTTTCCTTATTTCTCTTTTTTCCTTACCAGTCCTACTTTCCTCCCTCTTTAATTTCCCAGGCTAGTAAAAGAGTAGAAATCATTTCAAAAATGGTTGATAGATGACTGGTTCTTCAGATGTTGACACTACTGATAAGTCACAGGGCAACCCACCTCTCCAAGGGAGATTTAAGCTCTTTTATTAAGGAGTTAATAAAAACTCCTTCCTCTTCACCTGTTCCCCTCCAATTCCCCTTGACAAAAGCCAACCTCACCTTCATCTGCCTTGGCAGAACAAGATGTTCAACTCTTATGAATAACCCACCCCGCTCAGGCTGTTCTGACCCACAGACACTCCTTCCCAGAAAACGTTCTGGCTCACAGACACCCTCCCCAAAAGACAGCTTAAAAACCCCATGCTTTGTTCAGCTCAGGGCTGTCCTAGTCCTCTGGGCAGCCCGCCATGTCGCTCCCCCCAATAAAGACTCCTCTCATGTCAGAAGGTCTGGTCTGGATCTGTGTGGGTCTTGGCCTGATCATATCAACTACTGGTAGATGTTCTCTCCTCACAGTGCAGTGCTGGTGATTGAATTTAGCACTTTGCGTAGTCTGAATGTTTTCATACCGTGTCACACTCAAAGCCAAAAAATAAATATGGAAATTCTTTAAAAAGGTAAAAATACTAATTTCATTTGGGCCTGCCCTAGGTGTAATCTTGAAAGAAAGACAGCAGCATACCATAATGACACCTGCATTTTCACTTGATAGGGGCACCATTCCCAATAGTTAATTCCTGAAACAGGTCTTACTTATGACCATTACTAGATACATAGATAACAAAAATGTGATGTGGATACACAATAAACTATTATTCAGCAGTGAAGAAGAATAAAATCATGCAATTTGCAGGGAAATTGGTGAAACTCAAGACCAGTAGACTAGGTAAAATAAACCAGAATCAGAAAACTAAATGCACTATTTCTTTTATACAGAAAACCTAAAAATGTAAGTAATTGAATTAATGAAGGAGAGATAACTGGAAATTCGACAGTAGAGTCTTGGAAGTGAGGAGAGAATTGGGTAAGGAAGAAAAAGACAGGTAAAATTATTATAAGTGATCAAGATATGTTATATGAATTCTCTTAGTTATTTTTCTCACATTGCTGGGACAAAATACCTGACACCCAAAGTTAAAGAGGGAAAGGTTTACTTAGCTCAAAGTTTATACAAGTTTCAGTGCATAATCAGCTGATTCTAAGGCAGAGTATCATGGGAGAGGGGCAATAGTACACTATGGTGGAAGACAGAAAAAGCAACAAGAGGGTGTGGGTGGGAGACAAGGCTCTTTCTACTCCTTATACTGGATACAGGCTACCCACCATAGGTGAGTGTATCACTCACACCCTTAATCTTAACCAGAAGTATGTCAAACCACTCAGTGGGCTGATTTAATAATCATAAACTCTTAATTCCAGAACCATACACTCTAGATTCTTCCACCTCTGAAAAAACCTTCTGACTGCATAAAGCTTTGGAGGGGTCATCTAAACACAAAGCATACCATTCTGCCCCCAGATTCCCTAATATTCCATGCACATCCCTTTATGCAAAAGGCATTTAGTTCATCTCTAAGAGTTGCCAAAGCCTGAACAGCTTCAGAGTTACTGAAAAGACCAAGTCCCAAGTCCCTTCTGACATTTAAGGCAAACTCTTAGCTGTAAGCCCCTGTATAAATGAAAAGAAAGTTAAGAACTTCCAACATTCAATGGCAAAAAACTAACATTTCCATTCCAAAACTACAAACATAGTAAAAAGGAATGTGACCAAATCAAGTCCAAAATTCAGCAGAACAAACATTAACTCTTATAGTTCTATGAGCAGTATCCAAAGCAAGCTGTGGTAAGTTTTAAACTCCAAAGGGCTTATGTGGCTCTGACCTTAATGTACTTCCCATGGTAGTAGCTCCCATGACTTCTGTTTTGGGCCCACCCTGAAACGTCCTTGCAGTTTTCCTCAGGGGATTTGTGTTCCTGGATTCTCCAAACTTCTGGGGTCTCCACTATACCTGTGGTTTTACTCTCACAGCTTCACACACTACACTCTCAGAGGCACACTGCCAGGACACACAGGCCTTCTTCTGCAATCTGGGGGGAAGCCTTCCTGACCTCACAACTCTTCATTCTGTATGCACCAAAACTACAGCCACGTGGATGATGCCAAGGTCTCCTACCAGCTGAAGCAGTAGTCAGGCTTCCCTCTCTCTTGGCTGTAGACATCCACTGCCTGGATCGCAGAGAAGTTTGAATCCAATTCCAAAGAAGAAACTCTGTATGCCACTACCATTCAGGAACATGATGTGGTCACTGCCACTGTTGAACATGATGCCCTAGCTAGAACCATGCCAAACCAATAAGTGGACTGGTTACTAATTACACACACTTAATACCAGCATCACATACTCTAGATTCAGCTACCTCTGAAAAATTCCTATGACCATACAAGGCTTTAGTGCAACATCTAGGCACAAACTACAACAGGCATGCAGTAATTCTCCACAAAGAACATTACGGTTCTGTGTTATAAGCATGAACTAATAAAAATTTATCTTACAGAATAGACTCTAGAATTTTTAAATCTGCTATGGTACATACTATCCCCATACAGATACTGAGCAATGAAAATGTGATGAGGCAAAAGGCAGAAGACTGCAAATGTAACATCCACACTGAATATGAAATTTATTGGAAAAATTTTATTAATGATTTTATACTGTTACATAGTAGATAACATATTGGTTATACTAAGCTAAATGAAAATACAACTTGCAATATTTTGACTCACTTTGGTGTCTAGAATTGTAAATTACATATGTAGGCACATAACGTTTTGACTGACATTGTATTTTTCCTGTACTATATTGCTCAACAAAATCCAATTTGACAGAGGGAATACCAAAAGAGAGAAAGTGATGGCTAGGTGCAGGGTGACAAAACTAGAGGTGATCAAAAGTGTTAAGACTGCTATTTTGAAAAAATAGGTAGAATTTTCTTATTATATTTAGAACAGGAGAAGGAAAACAGTCAATAAAAGACTATAGGGTTTCAGGTTCAAAATTGGAAGGTTCAATTTACTATTTGCTGAGATAAGGAAGGCCACAGATAGAGGACATTAAGAACATAGTAGGAGCAAAATATTTGGTAGGAAAAAACAGAGTAAGACAGGTGCCTTTTAAGTAAGATGCAGAATATATATATATATATATATATATATATATATATATATATATATATATACATTGGAAGAAGTAAAGTGAAGGCTGACAATATCAGACTGCACATAGCAAAATTAAAGTTATTGGTAAATTTGAAAGATGAACTCAAGGAACATAAAAAATAAAACAAGTTGAAGCCTGATGAGACAGACTAAATAAAGAAGCAGAAGGGCTTGGGTGTTCTTTGGCAGAGCTCATACAAAGCAAGAGTGACACTCTGGGTTTCATCCCAGCACTAAAACTCCCTCACACAACAGTAGATCAGCACCTTAAGCTGAAGGCTGAAGCTCAGTTGTACAGCAGGTGCTCAGCAGGCATGGGGTCCTGGTTTCAATGTGGGTAAGTGGGGAGGAAAACATGGGAACTTCAAAATTAAGAAAAAGCTAGCAAGTAAGATTTTCAAGATTACTGTATCAAGGAGTGTCATGGTTTGTGTCTGGATGTCCCCTGAAAGCCTCATGCAGTCATGGGGTGGGCTTCTATAGTTTATGGTTGATCTATGGTCCAACATTGGGATTATGGGTGTGAGTGCTACACCCACCCTGGGATGGGTAGTTTGCATACAATATGAGGAAAAGAGGCTTGCTTGCTGCCACTCCTCCCTTTTTGCTCTTGTTGCTTTTGCTGTCTTCCACTGCCATGTGACACCCAGCTTTGGAGCCAGCCAAGTATGGACTGAAACCTCCACAAACCGTAAGCTAAATAAATCTTTTCTTCTTTAATTTTGGGTATTGGGTATTTTGTCCCAGCAATGGGAGAAAAGTAACCAAGACAAAAGAAAAAAATTAAATTAGTAGCTAAAGGATAAATGACATCCAATTATTTTGTTTAAGGGTGGAAGTATAAATAAGATCATGTTGTATTGCTGATGAGATGTGACAATTGAGAATGAAAAGAACGATGATGTAGTAGAGAAGAGATTTATTGGACTAATACTAGCAACTAAGCAAGACAATAGAGGACATGGTGTAAAACATGAATGCTCTATTGATATTACCGTGGAGGGATGGGCATATTTGGAAGTTGTCTAAGTGTTACTCTTAGAACAAGTTGGAAGCAAGATATAAATGTTACTGAGTTAAAACTGTGTTCTTCCACCTATGCTTCTTCAGTCACAGATAAATTCCATCCAGGAATGAGCAACAGGCCCTCATCACATGTGAACCATCAGCACCTGACAGTATGCCTGAACTCAGTAAGGATTTACTGAAAGACTGATCACTCTAGCAGGTAAAACAGAAGATTAATTTGAAGAATACTCTGACGAGTTGCAACTGTTCACAATACTGAAAGGAAAGGTTAGTCATCAGCATCAGACTGGAACAATAGTAGTACTCTCAATATGTTAGCATAAGTGTTCACTTACTTTTTTTAGGAAATTTTAACATCATCCAAAGAAGAACCGCAAGGCCTCCACATAACAAGACAGAGAGGATTATCATTTTCCTTTGTACTATGCATAAGGGAAACACAGGTCATTATCTTCTGGGGAAAAACCAACAGCAGCCCAAGTAATGCTTCTCCATCTTCTGTGTGCTGTCCCACTCCCAGCCCAGTGACTCATCTCCCAGGAAGTGAAACAGGTACCAAGCTGTAACCAGCAGCAACTACAGCCTGAGAAGCTCTGTGGCGCCACCTGTTGGTGTCCTTTCGCAGAACCATGCTATAAATTCCTCTACTGGGTTTCTCAGGCCTCTTAATAACAGGTTGCGTTTCCAAGTAAAGGAATCTGGTGGAAGGGGGAAGTATTTTCTTTCTTAATGAAGACTGCTTGACTTAAGGCTCTTATCATGAGCAATGTCTGCTGCCCCTTTCTGCTCTCCAAATGCTGAAGGTCAAGATGGGGTCAGGAAATAAAGATAAAATCAGAACTGGGCCTCCTTAGCCATTTTTGGGGTGAGGCGGGAAGAGGACTGGGGCAGTGATACTGGGGATCAAACCCAGGGGCCCTCTAATACTAAACTACATCCCCAGACTGTTATTATTTTTATTTGAGAGAGGATTCAGCTAAATTGCCCAAGTTGGCCTCAAATTTACGACCCTCCTGCCTCAGACTCTGCAGTAGTACAAACCATTGCCACCACTCCCTGCCTTTAGCGAACCTTGCACTCTCCTTTTCCTCCTATTCTCCATTTCTTCTCCCTCCATCTCGGACTTTCACCAAAAAGGCGCTTCTATGATTACAGAGACTGAATCATCCTGGGATAGATAGAGAACTGCCAGTACACTGGAGGCCTGTAAGCCCTAAGGAAATGCGGAGCGGGTCTCCTTGGCAGACCTCTCAGAAGGCCGGATCAGGAGAGCGCACAGCCCTGCAGCAGAAACCAAGCTGAGCTCTGCAAGCCTGATGACCAAGGGGCCGCGTCCTCCTGAGCCTCTGTTCTCCAACTGCTGGAGCTCGCACCCACCGAGCTCCCGCCCCAGGGGCGGGCTCACCTCCCGTGATTGGCTGGATTCCAAGGACAAGCTACTCTGATTGGTCCTTAAATTCTCACTGCTAACCAGTACTAATGGGTGGGTGGTCCTGTGGCTTTCTCCTTTCCTTTCCATTCTACAGTCTCCCTAAAATCTCAAATCTTATACAGGTTTTATCAGATAGGTCGCCTATACCACAGACCGTACATTTTTTGGTTTGGTTTATAATTTTTATCTGATCTGCTTACAGCCTGAGTCCTAAGTTTATCTGGACATTACTTAGCGAAATGAATCCGTTGTTTGCATGTCTTCGAGGTCGTTGAGTGAAGATGTGTGTCACAGGCGTCTGCATTTTGCACAGTAATGCAGGGCAATAATAATTCCAGAGCAAGCCAAAATCACATCAGGATTTGCAGTGCAAATGTTTGCAGTGCATAATGTTCACTATCCTTGTGTGGAGTTGGTACATGACTGTCATGCATCTTAGCTGCTTTTTCACCTCCTTTACCTCCCTTCCTTTTACCTCTTGATCCACTTTGCAACGAAAAATATCTACCCCTCTGCTTCTTGTTATCTATGTCGTATTTTTTTTATAATTTGCTTAATTGTGCAGTATGTATACTTGTGTGTTTGATTTATTTTGCTTAAAATTGTGGTACATGGTCTCAAGGTGCATCCATTTTCCTAAAAATGACGTAAGGTTATTCTTCTTTATGGCAAAGTAGTTCTCCACCATGTATAAGTTACACATTTTCTTTATCAATTCATCTGTTGATGGATATATAGGCTGTTTCCAAGATTGAGCTCTTGTGAATTGTGTTGTTATAAACACAGGTATTTGTGTGTCACTGTAATGTGATGTCTTTAAGTCTTTGGGGAATATAGGAAGAAGGGAAACAGCTAGGAAAAGTCAAATTTCTATTTTTAGTTTAATGAAAATCTCCATTATGATCTCCAGAGTGCTTATACTAATTTATACTCTCACCAACAATGTAGAAGGGCACAATTTTCCCTAAAGCCTCACCAGTATTTGTTATTATTTGATTTCTTGAGGATGGCAGTTCTCCCTGCTGTGTAACAAAATCTCAGCATGGCATTAATTTGCATTTCTCTAATGGTCAGTGATATTTAACATTTCCTCAGGCATTTATTGGCCATTTACACTTTTTCTTTTCAAAATTGTTCACTTCATATGTCCATATTTTGGTTGGGCTTTTTATTTTGGGTCAGCCATTCCAAACTGATAAATTGAAAACCATAGTTGTTCTACTGTCTTCTATTTCTTTGCTGAAAGAAGCTGTTAATGAGTCCTTGATTGATCAATATTGCATGTCTCTATCTGTTTTCATGAGAAACCACTTTGAAGATATCAATATGTAATACAACAAGCATTGTTAATTTCCTACCACTTTGTTTGTAACT